ATGAATCTTTGCTCAGAGAATTAGTTCCCCAATGTTCAAAGTGTGTAGATGGCATGAAGATTCAGCCCACCTATCTTAAAATAGAGAGTGATCCTGTCTTCCTAAAGAGCTGATGGATTCCATACGGTTTCAAGGTGCAGTTTGGAAAGATTTAGACAAGTTGGTTGAGAAAGGCACACTTATGTCAGTTGAATCTTCTAATTAGGCTACTCCCATTGTCAGGCCATTAAAGGCTGATGGGAAAACACTGAGAATTTGTGGTGACTACCGCCTTGCACTCAACAGCGGCCTACAACGGCAATGTTGCACTACGCTAGAACGCGAAGACATTCTCTACAAGCTACATGGCTCAAAATACTATTCCAAAATAGATCTCAAAGATGCTTGTTTGCAGATCCTTCCTAACGACGCTTATAGTGCACTAACAACCATTAATATTCCACTTGGCTTGTTCGCGTATAAGTTCTTGCCTTCTGGTTTAAAGGGTTTACTTGCAATATTTCATAAAGTAATAAATCAGTGATATGTGAATTATATGGTGTCGATTCTTACCAAGACGACATTATAGTTCATAGACCGAACATCGAATTGCATAATGAACGTCTTTTAAAGCCGTTCAGGTGTTTCTGCGAGAAATATATTCTTGTTTATCCATCTGAATATCACTTTACTTTGTCGTTTGTATCATGCTTAGGATACACAGTAGACTCCGAGGGTTTCAGACATGATGCTAGTCGTTTGGCACGCAAATTCACCTAATAATATATCGTCGCTGCGATCATGGATTGGTACTCTTCAGTTTTACCCAGATTCATTCCCAATTTAACTCAACTGTTATCTCCGCTTTTTGATATTTTCTTTGTAAACCATTTAAGTAGGAACAACATCATGGGGATATCTTGCGAAGAACTTTGGAGTTTCTTAATACACAAGCTTATTAAGACCTTTCTCATCGAAAGATAAGTACTTAGGGGCTGACGGTATTGACGTTTGTGGATTATATGGAGTATACTCACGCAAGATCTAATACCAACAACTTCAATAGTATTCATTCCGCGCAGACCAAAGGCAAAGCAAAAGACCACAATTGATCGTCCAAATTACGACATATATTTCGGGACCAAATCGTAGAGCGAGATAACTGCATAGGTGGCTAGTGATCGTGCGTGAACGTGACACGATGGAGCACCAAATGGCTTGGAGGCTTGACCGGAAGCCCTCAGCGAGACAAGTCAACTTAAACAGTGAGAGTCAGCATCCAATGTTCAGTGATCAATAATTTTGGGGAATTATTTACCGCTACAAGTCTGTTCTCACTACAGATGCTTCTCCTGTGGGTATATCTTCAGTACTTGATCAAATAGTAAACCTATCATTTGTATTTTACGAAGCCTAAGTAAGAGTGAACAAGGGTACTTACAAACCCAGAATGAGGCTCCAGCAGTTGCACGGGCAATATGATGCTTGCACAAGTATCTCTTTGGTACAAAGTTTCACATAATTACCGATAATCAGGCTTTAAAATTCACTTACATTCCAGAAAAATCTTTGAATAGATCACCTGCTGCTACGGTTAAAAGATGGAATTTAGAACTAAGTGCATATGATTACACTATTGAACACAGATTGGCTAAGGATGTACCTCATGCAGACTTCTTATCTCGCTGTTCATTAATTAAAATCCTCCTAATGACACTGATTGTTTGTTAGCCCAGCAGCTACTTGTAGATAGATTTCGAGTTATAAACGATACTCGAAAATATTACGGATGCATTATAAATGCAACAAAAAGAGGTTGAAATATTTTTTATAAGCGAAGAGGTGAGATTTCAGTCCATCCTGAAGGATTCCTATGTGTGAACGACAGAACTGTTATTCCTCCGACATTAAGATCTGAGATTTTGGATGATCTTCATTCTGCTTATCTAGGAGCTGATAAGATGAAATCATTAGCACCCCTAACGTTCTGGTAGCCGGAAATTGATACTGACATTAACAAAAGATCAAAGTGCTGTTCCAGCTGTTTGCATAAAGTGTCCAATGGGAAATATTCGTGGAAACCATGGCCTGCGTCTTGTGAGGTTTGCCAGAGTGTTCGTGCGGATTACTCTGGTCCATTCTTAAGATCATACTATGCCTTTATTATTTTTGATTCTTATTCTAGATGGCAAGTCATAATTACAGATAGTCCTAATGCAAAATTTACTCACAGAGCTTTGAGGAAGATTTTTAGTCCAGAAGGAATTCTAGATGTCTTAGTTAATGATAATGGTACTCATTTCACTAAGAACTTCAATGATTGGCTTAAACATATAGGTTGTTGTCATCTATACACAGCACCGTCATCCTCGGTCTAACGGGTTGACAGAAAATTTTGTACGAACATTAAAGAGTGTCATAGCATCAAGGAGTCCTAAAAATTTAGACGACCTAGAGAGATGTGTAGATAACTTCCTACTTCAATATCGCAATATGGAGCATACAAGTACCCATGAAAGTCCTGCTGAACTATTCAAATCTCGAGTTCTATGAACACATCTGATGTCTACGACTTCTGATGTACATTATTACAGAGGGAACGACTATAGACCTTCTGTTGGAATCATACTACAAAAAGTGGGAAATCGTATGGTGAAGATTTTAAAAATCGAATATCATCCAGTTGACAACAGACACCTGGACTAAGTGAAAATAAATGAAGTAGGTCGTTCCGATTATAATTTTAATGATTCCGCTACTAATCTTGATTTTGTAGATAATTCAGAAATAAGTCCAGATGAGACAGATGAAAATAATATCACAGAATCAGTTTGAAGATCGCAGAGACTTGCAAGCAAACCAAGACCTCATTATTAATTCGCAAGGAGACATTCAACTTGTGGCGGATGTGGTGACTGACAGTTTCTATTACTGTGTTGTTTAAATACTTACTGTTGTTTGTTAATATTCATCATGTGAATTACAAATAATTCCGCCAAATACAAATTCCTAAATTCATCGCTCCCAAGGTTGTTGGTTGATTTGCTGTAATTTGGTCATTGCGAAATACTCCTATTACAAGTAATTATGGTTACGTGAGGATTTTCGTCGTAGCTATACTTGCAGCTGACTTCTCCACCAATTCTGATGTTCTGGCTGATATCAACAAGCAAAAAACGATTGATACGTACACCCAATTTACAATCCATGGAATCATATCAGATTACCGGATTCATAGTCCCTGTATAGAAACTCCGGGCGATCTTATATTTTCTATCTTACTGCAACGTCTCTAAAAGATCCTAAGCCATCTTACAATGTTGCAGATGTGCCTCATGAAGTCACTCATAAAATCATCACAACGAGTCAACTCATCCCAGCGTAAGGACCGAAGATGTTCTTCACAACAGATTAATTTCCACCGCTCTACCGTCCATGATCAGTTTGTCTATCAGTGTGGACTGGAATACATGGTGGACAATTAGACTGTCAAGGGACAAGAGCTCTGTTACTGCGTCTTGGTGTGGTTTTGTATCTCTATAATGTTAATATCCTAGTTAACAGATGCACTTTTCAGTAGCTGTAATTGTTATATTCTGCCTTCCTTAGTTGGGCTGGCGTTAAGAAACGCTCGGTCACCAGGTTAAGTGGATCATGTTAAATAGTAGAAGGTGGTGTGGTCAAAGATCAGGCAAAGCAGAATAGGTGGCACACAGCAATCTTGAGAGTTATTTCCACTTGAAGTCAACCGAAAGCCAGCTGAAATCTGTTCAAGCAGTCTAACTAACTGGCTTCTCAGATTAACACGTCCACGCTGATTACCACCTGAGAAGTTCGTGGTAGCTGGGGCGAAATTCGCACAATTGATGTAACTAGGCATAATCAGGTCTTCAGTAGTCCTTGATCCTCGCCTTTGCAATATGGTACCTCAGACTGAACATGACTGGTGAACATGTAAGGATTACCATGCTTTCAATAATGCTACTGTCCCTGGCCGCTCTCCAATTCCCCACCCTGATGACTTCTCACTTACCTTGAGTGGGAAAACAATATTCTCTAAAGTCTACCTTGTCAGGGTTTATCACAAAATATCAGTTGCCTCCGAGGTTATTGAAAAAACAGCCACCATATCATCTTTTTGGCTGCTTGATGAATTTCCGAGGATTCCTTTCCACTTGAAGAATGCTGTGCAGTCATTTCAACGCCTTATGGACCACCTTACATAGGGTGTAGACTTCATTTTTGTGTATATTGGTGATTTTCTGATGGGTTAATAAATAGACTACTTAACCATCTCATTTCAGCGATTCGAACAATCTGACGTCCAACTGATTCGTCAACACATTTAAATACAAGAATAAACCACAAATACATGCACAGTAGATAACTGACAAACTTTCTGTAGTAGAAAGTTTTAAAAAGTTTAAAAACACACAATCATGCGAAATATTTTTTATTTATTAATTTCCTTTGCCACTTACATATATGTGACACTTAAAGAATGTACACAATAACTCTGTGAATGAGTTCATAAGTCCCTGCAGTGCAATAAGCGAAATATAGTACATATTTATATATATAACTACATTGGTGAAGACAGTATTAGTAGTGATAATATGAGTGTTACTCATTATTACTATCTCGTTAGTTTACATACACTTATCTTGGTATATTTCTTTTACAATATAACTGCCTGACATATTCACCTGAGTAATAAATTTACAATATCTACATTCGTTTATCAATTCCTCCGTGTCTCCTTGACAATGAACAACTGACTTTAATTCCTAGTAATTGTCTTACTGAGTAATTATGTGAAGGAAATAAATAAATAAATAAGAAAATTCTGACTAAATTTAAATCACCTATTAATTGCTCTATCTTATTTATATCCTGTCATTTTTGTCTTTCATCCACTTTTCCTTGATCCTCCTTTCATTTTTGTTTTACTGCAATTATTTAAAGATGTTGAATTATTCTGCCTCTTTTAAAAATTTCAAAATTCTTTCAGATGACTTACATTATAATAAGTGAGGATAATTATTCTTAACAAAGTGATGATTTGGTGGGTAATCATCCGTAGCACCAGTGTTTGACCTACATTCATATTCTTTGTAAGTTTTATCAATACACGATATATTTCCTCTGTCAATTTCATGTTCCTTTTCGTTAGATGGTAAATGTGTACTTGTACTGTCAGTGTTATTATTCTGAAATTGCTTTGTATGCACTTGTTCTGTTTTGTCTACACATTCTTCACCGACGATGACATTTTTATGTAAGCCATTCCCTTTAATATTATTTGTAGATAAATCTCCACAAGTTGACAAGTTTTCTGTCATTTCTACTTTTTCAGGTATTGCTGATTTCTTCTCCCTAGGTGCTAACGATATCGATGAAGAGTTTGCATTTATATCTGACAGAATAGGTGATGAAGATTTTTCATTATCTTTGCTCACTACTTTCCTGGGTAATTTAACATTATCATTAATTATAGTTTTCATTGAATTATTACTTAATAAATGTGTCGTGTTATCATTCATTAGTTTCAGTTTATTTAAATTATTTTCTACATTACTACAACTTTCTTTTCCACCTGTTAAATTGAGATTAACACTTGATTGTGCATCACAATTAGGCAGAAATCCATTTACATACTCATTGGATAGATGGTAGGAATTATAGATTGGTTGTATAATCATCTGAGGAGAAGTTGGATAATTTAGTGTCATAGTTTCTGTTGTCAGCGTTGAGGAAGTTGGTAGTGTTTGAGATAAATTTTCTACTTTAGGCATATTCCATAAATTATTAGTAAGACCATTATTGTTATTATTATTGTTATTGTTATTTTGCCACGACTTTGTCACCTCATTATTTTCCGGTTCAATTAACGTCGAGGTTAAATCTGTTATTGGTGATTTAATAAAACAAAAGATATTATCATTGACACATTGATTTATGTTATTATTATTTACAAGTAAACCTTCTAAATTATCTCCAGATGGCTTAGCTGACATAATTTTATTAAAATTATTCTGCATCGTATCATTTAAATAAATACCTTTATTGTTACATTTTGGTTCAGTGTTTAAAGTCATCACATCATCCGATGTTGGCATAGATGAGGTAGGAGATATGGATTTTGTTGTCGAATTTATCAGTATCGTGGTTGTAGGCACTTCTGTCGATTCAGTCTTTGTTGTTGCTGTCACCGTGCTCATAGTTGTCAGTGGCGGAGATAGTGTCGTTGACGATGATACTGGCGAAGATAATAAAGAAGAAGAAGAAATAGAAGTAGTGGTGGCGATAGAATCCTTCAAGTCATTTCCATTTATATCATTACTAGTTGACTTTGTAATGTTGTTGTTACCACTGTATGTTGAAGGTAACTGATTCCACTGATTCAACACATCATTTTGATGTATAGTCATCTGATTCTGAGGTATGTAAGGGTGATAGTGTGACGTTTGATGTGTAAATGGAGGTGAAATAATAGAGCTACCTAACGGGAAATTCCATCCAGTTAACGGTTGAAATGTTGAGTGAAATAAACTATTCGATGAAATATTCCCTGGTGTATTCCATAAATTTGGTGTCTGATTTATACTTTGTGTAGGTGAATTAATACCATTAGGTATAAAAATGGTTGGATGGCAAAAACACTTTGTAGTATTCAATTTTTGATCTGCTAACAGTACATCATTAGTTAGGCTTTGATTGTCACTACTCGTCAAGGGATTATCGCCTTGATTCGTCACAGAAATCGATGGATTACTGCTGCCATTAACATTATTGATTATTTGACCCACATTATAGTTATCATTTGTCGGTGCTTGTAGATTATTAGTAGTAGTACCTGTTGGTGTATTCGATACGCCTGTTGGATATTGTGAACAGAAGGCATAATATGATGTCAGTGGTAAATTTGTCGACTGTAAACTATTACTAGCGAAATTCAGATGGTTGTAATTTGGTGCACAGAAGGTAATGTGTTCTCCAGTAATACTATCACCTTGCACATTATTTAATATACCAAAATTATCACCATCAATCGATTTTGTTGCAACAGCATTATTACTAACATTATTATTACTATCAGTAGTATCTATAGTTTCATTAAGTGTAGTCGTTGTACTAGTGGCAACTAAAGATGCATTGATAGCTGTATTTGTAACATTGTTACAAGTAGTTACAATATTTAATGTGCTTGAAGTATTCATATTTTTTGAGGCTGTCGTTACTGGTGTCATCCTAGATAGACTATCATCACTAATAATTTGTTCTTCTGTACTACTATTACTCATTACTTTTTTATTAGTAGTAGTATCAGTAACTGTAGAAACTGTAGCACTACTATTGCCACTACTAGTCGTAGTAGTATTAGTAGTATTAAACACATCATTACAAATTAAGCCAGGTTGTATATTCATTAAAGTTGACTGTTGTATCATAGAATTACTCGGAAATGGAATAACATGTGATGGAATAAAATGACACGGAATAGTATAAACTGATGGACTACCACTGTTCTGTTGAAAATTGAATAAATTTGGTTGGAATTGATTAGTTGTTGTTAAGATTAAAGGCATAGGTGATTGCTGCTGGTGGTGGTATTGTTGTTGTTGTGGTTGATGTCTCGGTGTAACTTGTGTTCCATTCATCGTACTGAATGAATTTCCAGTAAGTACAGGAGTAGTAGTATTAGAAGTAGCAGTACCAATAGTTGTAGTAACGGTGCTATGGGATAACGGTGAATGTGTACTCGTCGTTGACTTATCTGTAGGATGACGTAATACACTTGGATTTGTTCTAAATGATTGATGAATAAACGGTGACGACTGAAATGGCTGATCTGCAGTTGATAAGTTACTATTGAAATTATTGTAATTATTTATAAACTGATTAGTATTACTACTTAAACCAGTGGTATTAGTAGTAGTTGTTGTTGTTGTATTAACAGAAGTGGCCGATGTATTCATGTTTTGTTGGTCAGAGCAATAATAACGTCTCACTGTATTCGGGTGTAGAAATGGTTGTAATCCGGCAGCACCTGACTGATGCTGATGGTGATGATGATGATGGTGGTGGGGAGGAGCAGGATGATATGAAAATAATGGATGACTGTGTGCTGAATAAATCGGTGTAAATGAATTTGTTAGAAAATTGTACGCCGGATCATTGGTTGTCGATTCATAGATATCATGACAATTTAATATATCTGAGTTTGATGTATGATTAGGTAGGTGGTATATATGTGGTGGTATTAAGCTGCATGGATTCTGCGTAATTGTACTCGTATTATTATTATGATTATTACTATTATTAATTAAATTAGAATTAATTAATTTTCGATTAAAATTTGGTGGTTCCATAGCTTTAATTTCAACTTGTTTATTATTGATATTAACATAATGTAAATTAATTAACTGTTTAACAACATTTTCATCATCAAAACTAATGAATGCAAAACCTCTATGCCTTTGTTTATTTGTATCCATCATCAGATTGACATCGGTTACATGTCCAAATTGTTTAAAATAATCTTTAATTGATTCAATATCTTGTTCTAAGCCTATACCACCGACAAATATTTTTAAACTACGTTTATTACGTCCTTTCATATTGATATTACATTGTTTTGCATCAACTTCTTTACCATCAATAATATGAGGTTTTGCTTGCAGTGCTAGTGTGACTGATTCACATTCATGATATTTAACATAACCAAAACCTCGTGATCGACCAGTTTTATTATCCATCATTACAATTGCATCATCAATTTCACCGAATCTTGAAAAGTATAAACGTAAACTACCATTATTTGTTGCTTGAGATAATCCTCCAATAAATAGTTTACCAATTTCATTACCATCTGAATCTGTCATGTTTGTTTTTCTCGGCGATTTTCGTGGATAGATGTTATTATTCTTCACTTGATGTATTATTCTTAGTTGGTGTGATTGAAATAAAGATTTTGCAAATACTGACTTTCTCTTTCTTCAAAATGAAATATACAAATACAAATAAATGAATATTTTTTGAAGATAAAAATCAAAATAATAAAGATGTCAGTTGTTAAACATGGAAAATATTGAAATTCTGAAATTCTTCTTCTTCTTGTGAGTCAGCTCTTCTCAAAGAAATTTAAAAGAAAAAAATCTTGTTGTTTATTTTTGGAGGAAATGATTAGTTGAATTATTCAAGTAGTAGGTTATACATATGAAGAATTTTAATCAGAGGAAATAATGAATACACTTAGATAATTAATCAATAAATATACATATTTAAAACCTTATTTATTGATCGATTGGTTTATGTATGCATATATATTTGTATACCACTATGTATGCATAGGTGTTATATACCGGCGATTTTACCTGATCTTAAAACCAGCTAAAACCAGACTGGGTGAACTTGGACCATCGAGCTGCGGCAGAAGACTTATTAAAATGCAATTCTACAACCTTGAAGCCCGAAGCTATTTCAATATTATTCGTTTAGTTTCCAAGTGGAGCATAGGGCTTAAAAATCACATCCCCATCTCGTCCTCCTCTCTGTAGTTCTTTTTAGTTGGTCTCATGATTCCGCATAGGTTTTCCTCTTCTTCTCACTCTATTTCCTCCATGTCACCGTCGGATCCATGTCCAGCAGTCGAGGGCCTGGTTGGCAAGTAATGTCATTTAACGGTATCCTCAACATGTGCCCAATCCATCCCCATTTCCTCCTGCATATTTGTTCGATGATAGGTTCTTGGTCGGTTGGTCGCCCGAGTTCCTTGTTGCTCGTTATTTCTGGACTGACATATAATCTTCACTGTTGAGTGAAAACAGATGTCCATCAAAGTATAAAGCCTACTTAAAACGCTCCTGCTTACATGCCAATTCTCCGAAGCATATAAAAGTAATGACTTGACATTCAAGTTGAAAATCTGAATCTTGTTCTTTATGCTGTGCGCAGTAAATTTCCACTTTGATATCAGATTAATAAAGGTCTGACTTGCCTTTCCGAGACTAGTTTCGACATCTCCATCCGTTCCATCTGCCTGCAGTTGAAATGATGCTGCCTAGAGAAGTGAAAGAAGTGACCTTCTTTCGGATTTCTCCTGCTGTTTATGTTTGGTACTTGTTACTGTAGCTGCTTAGGTATATTCACCACCTTTATCTTCTCCATGTTCAACTGAACTCCTGTCATGGCTGCCTATTCTGCCAGTCTGCTGGTTTTCGCCTGCAGATATTCAAGTTTGTGGGACATGTAGCATAAACTGTCCACGAAGTTCGGATCTTCTAGAGTTATCTTGTCAGTCCAACGCATCGGTCTCTCCTAATTTCCTACCGTCTACCGCATGATATAGTTCACCACAATTATGAGTATCATCGATTATAGTAAGTAGTCTTGTCTTACTCCTGTCTTCACCTCAAAGGCGTTGCTGAGTTTTCCATTGTGAATCAGTCGACAAGTGACATCATCACATAGCTGTTGAATTAGGTTGATAAACGTTTTTGACACTCAGTAGTGTTGAAGCAGTCGCCAGATCACTTCACAGTCAACGTTATCGAATGCTTTCTTAAGCTCGATAAAGCTGATGTAGAATTTAGACTGACATTCCATACTATGTCCGATGATGATGTATACTGCTGCAATTTGATTTGCACATGACTTGTTTTTCCAGAATCCAGCTAGTCTGTGGTGGAGTTTTGTTTTCAGAGTAGCCGGTTAAGTCGGTTATTCATTGATTTAACTTTTCAAGGTATGTAATAAATAGTAACTGCTATTATCCACTTAGTCTCTGAGTGGAACGTAGAGCTTCGAAAGCACATCTTCATTTCACCTTGTTCTCTGAAGGCATTTTTAGATGTCTCCACAGTTGTCTACAAGGTTTCCTTCACTACCTTTCATTGGTTTCATCTGTATTGATCTCTTACTGAATAGCGAGTTGGTTACCTGATATGATGTTATAAGTTCTCTTTTACCTGAAGCTTATTGTGTTTCAGTTGCCAGTGTGTCGTAAAATTGTCTTTTGTCTTTCTTCTCACTCTTCTTCACTTCTTTATTCGGTGCGTTGGATATTGGACTCAGCTTCTCCTTTCGTTAGCCATTTTCATACTTGTTCATCTTCTGTTTATTCATCCCTCACTCTTCCACGTATAATGGAGGCACATTCTATGTTTTACCTCTTCTTCCTTCTTAAGAAGGCTGTACGAGTTTCGCTAAGTATCACTTTTGGAGGGTTTCAGTATATTTCCATATGGTTATCCATGGTGATACTGCTAAATGTCTTCGACCTTTCCCTGATGGCTACAGTGAATGTGTCCTTTGTAGTTTCGTCCTTCATTTTCTAGGTGCTAAACTTGAATTGCCGTCTATTTCAGGCTCCTTTGAAGGTTTTCAACTTGACCTTAAAGGGCTCTTGTACTAGACAATGGTCTGAGCTCACATCTCCTCCTCTTCTGTATCTAATGTTCATAAGGCTGCATCTCCACCTTCTTGAGATTGAGATGAAGTCGATCTGATTTTTGGTATATCCGCAAGGTGGAATTTATGTTGCCTTATGTGTATAAACGCTACCTCCAACCACCAAATCACTGAATCCACAGAAGTCTGCGAATAGCTCTCTGTTCGCATTCTTCTAGCCAAGAGTCTTCCAACCAATGGTGAATTCTTTCCCTGTATTGTTTGTTCCCAGTTTGGCATTCACATCATCCACAGGGATTTTTATATCACCACTCGGGATCATGTCCATTATTGTAATAATTGTGTACTGTGTATTTTTTTTTAGAATACAGTAGACTGTTTGTTTTCTATCTTTATTTCTGTAAGCTCTGGAGGGTCAGAGGTGATTAAAAATTGGCAATTGTTAGCAGTCCTCAGACCAGCTGTTAACTGTCCTCCCGTGTCGAACTCTAATCGCAGCACTATTATTAATGCCGATAATATCAGCTTATATTGATTTTAGAGACGTTATCGTATCAGAACATCAGTGGCCTGATTGTTCGTGAAACTAAGTATGTAATGACAGAATACAATAGTCAGGCAACAGATCGTTTATTGTGAAAATCAACAGATATTTAAAGATTTTTTGTACATTATTATTCGTTATTATTAGCAGAGAAACAGCGTCTTCTGATTGGTCGTTTTCTCGCTGGAAGTTATTCTGTCATCTCTTTGTGGCCGTTTATTGCGAAGGTCATACCATATATCTTCTAATCGTATCCTCCCACGCAAAGTCTTTGTTCTTGTTTTTATCATCGCCAAGATTTGGGAAGTAAACATTGACGTAAATTGCTGCCTACCAATTTTGGCTAGCAGACAGCTCTCACCACAAGTATATGATAAACGTTTTAGCACAGTTTCCTTTGTCTTTGCTATCTTGGATACAGTAATCATAGTAACAATGATAGTAATGAAAACCATTCTATATTATATTATGGACAGTAGAATTACCTAGATATCCAGGCGGACAGGTGTTCAATCATTTCCATTGCATGTATTCTAAGTTGATTCGGTTAATAAAGAAGGTTTCAGTTACCAATCTCTCCTTTCACCACGTTAAAATAGGTATTAAAACTTTTCCTTTGTCCCATCCTGTGTAACTGCATGTAGTATCATATGTGAGGTTTCTTTCCTAGATCTTTTATCCTATTGGGAGATAGCATTCCAGATTTCGAAAAGCTTTTGGGTTTTGATTTACCCTGACCTACTACTTTGACCTATTTATTTGACCTCAAACACATTGCAGGGTATTAGATTAACTAAACTATTTTGTTTAATAGACAACACATGATCCTCCAACCAACATAACTTATTTCTAAGTGATTTTATGGATTCGAATGCCACTTTTATTCAGAATCCTGCATAAGTTTGTATGGTAGCAATACTTATGTTGAAAATTCTCTTTTGCTGACAGTCTTATAATCTAACATAACGATGGTGAAGGGAAAGATTGTCGAATCAACTGACGATACATGCAATAGGAATGATTCAACAACTGTCCACTGGGTCTGTCTGTCTGTCTGGATTCAACATAGAACTTGGCACTGAAGTGCAGCAGTTCGAGTTGCCACGGTCCAAATAGCACACAAAGGTAGACAAGAAGATGAGTGAAGAGAATCAATAGAGTTTTGACAAGTATAAGAGTGAAACAGAATGAGTAATGATAGAAAGGAATATGAAAGATTACAGAGACTGAATACATCTGCGTAAGCCATTGACAAGGATTTTGAGCCATGTCACCTATTGTCTGCAGCCATTGATTCTTAGAGTCCCGAGGGCGGACCCCAACCTGGAAGTCTGCATCTCCCTACCTGACTCAGTTTAACTGTCAAGGATTTCATGGATTGATGCCATGTTTTTGTTTGGCCACCGCTTACTCTTTTCCAACCTGCACCTGTATCAGCTAGTAATGCCCGTCCGTCGGGGGAGGCGATGGTTAGGCATGCGCAACACGTGACCTAGCCATCTCAATCTATGCAACTTTATAGCCTCGTCGACTGATTTTCCCTCTTTGCCCAGCACTCTACGCCTAACGTCAACATTACTTACCTTATTATGCCACCCAAAGTGAGAAAGAGATCGTAGACACCTATGATGAAAAACAGTCAACCTTTTCATGTCTTCAACTCGTATTGGCCATGTTTCAGAGCCATAGAGAAGGACGGAGGGAACTGCTGAGCAGTACACACGTCCCTTGGTTGATGGCCGGGTGTCACGCCTATGCCAGAGATGGTGTAAGTTAGCGAAAGCAGCTCGAGCTTTTTGGATCTGTGCTGAGATTTCGTCGCCAATCAGTTCGTTAGTGCTGATACAAATTCCCAAATAGGTGAAGTGGTCAACATGTTCTATCACTTCACTCCCTATCACTAAGCTAGGGGTAGACGTAGTCCAGTTCTGTAGCAGCATCTTACATTTTACAGGGGCGAATCGTATGCCAAACACACGAAGATTG